GAATTCGTTAACGATAATAATGTTTTTGTAGAAAAATTTTAAATACATAGCACTGACAATATTATCTGATTACACTAATAATGAGTGCGTAGCGATTTCTATGTTGATTGTCGCATGCCTCTTACTTGTTACACTGTAATTATTTATATAAAAAAAACATCTATTAAAAAGAGCAACACACAAGTTTCCTGCTCATTCTTCTTGTGATGAATCTGCATTCCGAATGAGTGGTAGAATCAAAATATGACTACTCAAAAGTGCTTGTAATGAGTTTATTTGAATAAAGATTATTTCTATTCTATTCTATTCTATTCTATTCTTTGTATAGAGATTAAAATGACGGATAATAATGCTCATGATAAATGAATTTTGATTATTCAGTTATCATGTTTTCAACTGTAATACGAAAGCAACAATTTTTCTTTGCAGATTATTACCATTATTATTTATTTAGAATTAATTAATTAGAATTTACTTTTAATGCATGATTCTCATTGATAAAACATTTACTGCAATTGATGTCTATAAAATAAAAACATATTACGCGGACCCCAAATAAATGGGATAAGGAAGAAGCAGATGATGATGTTGATGATGATGATGATGATGATGATGATGACGATGTCTGTAGAATTGTATAGTTTATATATTCTCTAATAGATTTATGCTTCAACAGCATAGTAGGTTGGTACTAATAACACTACACATTTTTTTTACACATTAATTAGTCATTAATCTCTGGGATCCCCGAAAATTCTAGACATCACTTTCGAATTCATATTACATATCAGTTATTTGAGAGTTATAGTCAAGCCTTCACCGGCCATACACCTATCTTTTTCCTTTAGAAAACTTTAACTTTATTAAATACAACTTCAATATTATTTTTTAATGTGCCGCAAAATTACTTAATGAACTATTCACAGCCAAGATTTTAAATTGGGATTGAGTTGCGCTGTAAAGCTGTAAATGCAGTACAGTTCTTTAAATTTTATGGAGCATGTCAATGGTAATAACGCTCGCTGACGTAGAAAGTGAACTTACAAACCCCAATTACAATAAAAGAGCACGTTATTTAACAGCAAAACGACATTCAAAAGACGGAAAAACCGAGGGTCGGAACATCTGCACATAAAGAGGCAATTTGGAGATTGCCGGGGGCGCGCCACCGCCACGGAGAATTGTACTCAAATGTATTCAAAATTAAAAAAAAAACGAAAATATTGCAAGAAATTTCATTGCGGTAAAATAAACAAGAGTAGCTTGTTACTGTTGACTGTAGAGGGACTCGGGGCCAGGCCAGATACTGCATACTATTTCAACTTTTTATCCCACTTTGACTTCTAGGTGACATATTCAAATGGAAGTTGGTGGCTACAAATGTTTTTTTATATTATTTGTTATGAAGTACCTAATTATAACCACATAAATTTTATTTCTAATGCAATTTCTTCGCTATATAGTATTAATTTTGACGATATTTTTTACTCAATATAGTTAATTTTCATTTCAAAATTAGATTAAATGATTATGCTATTTTTTTTATATTACAGTGGTGGCAAACAAGCATACAGCCCTTCTGATGGTAAACAGTTACTATGGCCTATAGACAGCTGAAACACCAAATCACGTGCGCGTTGCTGACCCTTAAGGAACCTTAATATACTCTTCTTAAAAGCTCCATAGTGAAATCTCCTGACAAAACTTTCTATTGAGATCAATTAATGCACTAACTTTTTTTTTTAACTTAAAAAATATCATCATGTTATCTTTTGCTGACTATGTATAAACTTATATAGTAATACTTTTTTAGTATAAACATACATGTACATTTATATTCTTAACAGTGCGTAATTTCAATAGGATAGGATTAGAATTTATAATAAAGTTACCAGTCGATATTGGCTAAATACGTAGTATGAGCAGAAGACTGGCCGTGGACGGCGCACTCCGTGGAAAACAGCGGATGTCGAAATTTGGCGTCGTGCCGCTGTAATGACGTGGCCCTAGACGCCAAGTACGTGAATTGGTTGCACCAATAACGAACACCACTATAGGTGCTTGCCTTACTTTGAAAATTTAATAACTTTTACACTACTCGTTTGTCAGTTGCCAAAGTCATAATCACCATTTATTTGATAATTTTATAAAATAAATGTCAGTTGTGTGTTGTTGGATTATATGATGAACAGTGGTAACTACTGCTATATGTAAAGTAAAGCAACAGCTGTCATTAATCGTGTATAGCATTACCAGGCGTCCGGATAAAGCCGGACATAGTTAGGCTTTTTGATTGCGTGTCCGGCCAAAGTAAACGTTGTCTGGCTTCTGTTCCGTATGCGGCCGCTGTCTGACTTTTGTTAGTCTTTTTACATTATTTTTATTGTAAAACAAATAATTATTTATATTGTTTATCTTAAACAGAGAGAGAGAGAAACTTTCATTAGAATTTAACAGGATACTTATAATAATAAAAAAGTTTCATTTGACATACAATGTTATGTATACATTACATACAATATTAATTAATATTAGACAAAAAACACTCACTAATGTAGGACTTCCGGCCTTTTACCTAAATGTCCGGCTAAACTGGCTCTGATCAGGCTGGACTCTTTGGCTTAAGTTTGGTTACGAAGATCACCTTGTCACGTCACTCATATTGCAATTATGCATTGCTATTTTTAACTGACGACTAAGATGTAATGTTACTTTACTCTGGAAAAACTTAGTAATTGTACTGCAATATATCACCCTTCAGATCAAAATACGGTGTATAAAGAAAGCAAATTGGTGACAGAAGTACGTTAGACAGGTATTCACGCAGAAGCGGAGGTACGTTTCTACTTGGTTGGGGCAGATCTGCTATTCTACCTCACTTGCATTCTATAATACGTTTATATGGTAGGCTATTGTAATGCATTTAGAGGCATGTCGTCATACAAACTCAACAACAAAACATGTTAGTATTCGGTCTATTATGGTCTTCGTATTGAAGTCCAATTGTAGTCTCGTTACCGAGATCATTTTGTAGAATGGATAAAAATTTTCATTACAAAATAGATTTGGGTATAAAATATCCTACATGTCAATCAAGAATATAATATACTCCTGACTGTAATCTAAATTTTACTAAATCGACATCATTACAAACAACGTATATTAGTTTTAACCTTTTTACTGGTTTTCTTTTTCCTAAGTATTTACATCATTTTCTATAAAAACCTAATAAGTGTTTAGTTTTATTAATATTTAAGAAATATAGGCAACTAATTTAGATTTTAAAAATACAGACTTACAATATAGAATAATAATACAATACAATGCTTACGATATAGAACAATTACAACTAAATAGAATAACGCTCTACCTTGTTGTTGAACTGCGCTTTTGCGACAGCAATTTGCGACATGGGAAAGAGATCTGCGATTGCTGTTTGTGTCGCTTTAGAGTAATCTCTATACCAAGCAGGTAATCATAATAAATACAGAAAACCTGTCTACTGTGTAAAATACGCATAAGATATGATTATAAATATATTATAGATATGGCCATGTAATGAGGTATTATTTATTGCGTTAATAATTTAGGACCTTTAAAACAATAGCACATTAGTTGGTTACTTGATTATTTTATTCATATAGGCAGAACATATGTATACTTTTTTATTACCTTAGAATTGTAAATTACATAATTGAGTCAAATGATTATTACCAGCAACAAGCAACCTCCTCTACTTTTTTTGAGATGAAAGCCTTTTTCTATCATCCTGATAATCTGTCTCCACGTAAAATTTCAATAACATTTGGTCAGATAATGTCTCGTGAAAAGGCAACAAACATCTGTATGTTTGTATGTTTTTTCTCGTAAGTTCAATTACGACATTCACGACCATATTTATGATGTTGTAAGCGCTATCTAACTACCATACATATCACAAAATTACACACACACATATTATTGTGCTTCCCCTTTTTAAGAACATGGTTTGTTTCCTGTAGAAGTAATTTGCTGTCCAAAGCATATTATGACTATTCTATAATAATATTAATCTAAAATAGCATTCTCAAAGCCCGTATTTTATAACATAGATTTGAACTATACTACTATATTTGTAATAAAGTATGTAGATATGGACCACCGTAGTGGAACTATTTATATTTTAAAATACTAATAAAATAAGTAATACAGTACACGGTTTTTACTCTGTATAGTCAGAACCATCGTCAACTACTTACGGCGTGGTGACCACAACATTTATCATTGCTAGTAGGTATTTCGCTGGATGTGTCTATATTTGAATCCAACATGATAAGAATTGTTTGGTTAAATTGGTTTGTTTTCGGTGTTTTCATCATAGAAAAGTCTGTCAGAAATGTAAATTGTCAAACAAATAATTTTGGTGTCGGCCAGATTTGAATAGAGGACCGGTCAGTCAGATCAATCACGAGGTGATAATTCTAAAATATACTTAATACAAATTATGTAAGATAACAATAAACAATTCTAACGTTCATCAATAGGGTATAAAATGTCTTTCTGTTTGTTTACAGATTTTCTCAGTTGCCACGTACCTGTCTGTTGAAGAACACTTATACAGAAATTTGTAATGTAATATATATTTTTTCACAATGGATTTATATTTCATATTTAACTTTGTCATTTTGTTTCTAGTCCTAAGCACTCAAGTACATTCTGGAAGTAAGTAATGTATAGACAAAAGTACGTATAATATTTTTTATGTACGCTAATATAAATTAAATTAATTATAAATTACGTTTTCTTTCATAAACATAATCTGAAAGAAGCTGAAATGGTCGTAAAAGGAAAAGAAAATACCACAAATAATTATACGGTACGATAACAATAAAATATACTTACCTTTTTTAATTTAATTGTTTATAATAATGAGAATTTTATTGTAGATAAGGAAAGTGAAGATACAAATTTATTACGAATGCATGTGCCCACACTGTAGAGACTATTACATAGAAATATTTATGCCGACTGTTCTTAAATTAATCGATTATCTTGATATTTATACATATCCATATGGGAAAGCAAATGTAAGTTTATTATTTATTATATGTATTAATAATTGTTATATTATACATAACTGTTTTGAGTCCACTATTTCATTCTACTTTCATATTATATTCATATCATGTTTATAAAATCTCTAAGGACCTATATATATGACCATGAGATAACATAATATGTTATACGGACATAATGTTTTCATGTGATACCCGCACAACCACTCATGTTTCGCTATTCCAGAGGACTTAAATGTCATGCCCCTTATGCTGTAATTTCACTGCTTAGTTTGTATTTTACAACTGAAGCACATAATATTTAATTATTAAATACTATTATATAGATTACCTTCGTATCTTACCTTTCTGTATAATATGTTATAATAATGGGTCATGTAATAGAAATGTATTGTCACAGTTAGGTATTCTATTATTGTAAAGTAAAATTCATAATTTCAGACAACTGTTATTAATGGCAAATACGAGTTCACTTGTCAGCATCAATATTATGAATGTTATGGTAACAAACTGCATGCGTGCGCTATACACGCTCTGAGAGATGTGAATAGATACGTACGCTATAACGCCTGCCTGATGGACCGCTCGCAGCGACTCTGGGGCTCGGATGATGACGCCGTTGATCAAGTGACGTATAACATACTTCTACTCCTAAAATAATAATAATAATAATGTCAAATAATATATGTTACCTATGTTACGCAGATTATGTGTGTACCTACGTTAGACTCATGTCTTGTGGCTTTGCTAACTTGTTAGTTACATTATATGCTGTGTCAAAACCGTAAATTTCACTTATAATACAAAAAATAATTCTGGTGACTCCTCAGTAGTAAAAAAGTTACAACTCAGTAGTAAAAAAGTTAAATGAACTAATATAGAACGTACTCTGATGCCTATCAAGGCATCAGATCATCAGGCAGTAAAATTAAAGGATCAGAGGCATTAACAACTTATTCTTTCTGGAATGGAAATGTATGAGTGGAAATCGAGTATTCGCTTTCTCATAAATACCCTTTTTTATAGTGTGGAAAAATGTTGAAAATACCGAGGGGGTGTGAAATTATACATAGGCGTAGGTACGTACGCCATTGCCGGAGTTACAAGGTCGCGTTTCAATTCTATCGCGACTAGTGCGACAGTAGAGCACCCTAACTTGTGTACTAGGAAATGGGTGAGTATAATTTTAATTATTTCGTTACAGTGTGGAAATAAATTAGGAGTAGATTCGAATGCTATCAAAATATGTGCCAAAGGAAACGAGGGGTCGGCGTTGCTGAATGATTATGGTGTGGAAAGTAAAAACCTGATTTTGAAACATGTGCCCCACATCTGTATCAACGGGGTGCCGGTTGAGATGAAAGAAGACTTGATGCAGACACTTTGTGATGTTTTCAATAATATACCAAAAGCTTGTTAACAATTGATCTTGACAACTTTATAATACATAGTTCAGTATAATTATGTTACACAATGTTAATGTAACATTACATATGGTAACTATAAAATAATATTCAGAAAAATTTTCAGAAATAATTTATTTTATTACAATAAAACTGGTAAAATATTTTTTTAAGTAATGGTACATCTTATAAGAATTTGATAACCGTAGTCTATAAATTAATATTATAGTTAAGTCCCTTTTATTTAAGTATAAATAATAATTTGATTGAATCGATATAGTTTTATCTTGATTTAAATACATTCGTTATGCAGATTTAGAAAAACCAGTTGATTTGTGCTACTTTTTAAGATGACAGTATTACAAGTTAACTTACTTACTACAAACCAGAACTTTCATGATAGATAGCTTTTATCACATTTATATTTTAAGCGTTACTCTAGTTTAAGGAGTTTTTTTATGCAGATAGTTATCATAGGGTTGTCTGGAATTTATGCATACAACCTTATGATAACTATCTGCATAAATGAATGTTTTGCTTTGTCACTTTATGCTAGTGTTTTACGCTTTCATTTTAAATGATAACATCGGGGCCAGATTGCAATATCGATTTGTTACTAAATGTTTAGTACTCATATACTATAAAACTCTGTAGAGATTATTTAGGCAGTCTTTTGAAAAGAATCACAGGCGGATATATGGATATATTTTTTAATTCGTAATTTTTTACATTTTTTGGGATACAAGTTTATGTGTATTCATGATGGCTTATAATTATATTATCATTTCAACTAGTTGAATAACATACACAAAAACGACATTTTAAATTAGTGCCTAATAGTCATTATAGATAAGAATAAAAATATTTTTAAATATCCCAGGTATGATGACTCAGAGAATTTAATAACCAAAATAAATTTATATTTACCGTTACTAAGCAGAATTAACGGTTATATTAGTCTTCATCACTCCCGTTTCCCAAACGATACAGGGCAATAAAACGATGAAAAGAAGCAAATTTTTCAGCAAATCATCTCCGGACCCCATGAAGTCATCAATATTCATTTTGCGGCGCGCCTCCGAAACAAACACCTTTCCGAAGGAGCATAACACACTTCCTTTGAGGGAACTATGACGTGGGGCCGCTCGGGGGCCCCGCCGAGCCTCTGCTAAGCCCCGCCAGCCGGCCCGGTGGGGGCTAACTCAATTTATTTAGATAATTGGTTTGTTTCACTAACGTCCCGCACCAACAAATTGTTTCATATTACTGAATCTATGGTGATCTTTTTGTTTATAATTAATAAGAATATTAGTACAGTAAGTATTTATGTAATATGTAGTAAATACTTCTAAAATTTTTCCTTTTTTTCATAATATAACAATTAAAAAGTACCTACTTTGCAAAGATGGCAACATTGCTATATACTACTATTTCAAGTGATTAGGTCTTCAAAAATGGTGTCGTTTAAATTTTGACTTTGGATTTGAAAATGATCAAATCATTTTCATGAGCAGATAATTAGATGGTTTTTTATTATGTATCTAAGGATAACTTATTACCTGCTTGCTTAAAACCTAATGGAACTCCAACCATATATATTTATAGAAGACAAATAGATATGTTTGGTGCTCCATTAGGTTATTAGTTAGGCAGAAGATTATCAAGGGTCAAGGATATTTCAGAATTATTAGCATCGGAGACTATATCTTATTACTCGTAATGGACTATGTCAGATTGATCTCTACACGGTCCATCCAGGAAACATCCAGGAAAGGCAAGGCAGGATAGGCAAGTTAAACGAACCTTGATTTAATTCTTATTGTATCCTCTGCCACCGGTATCCACTAAGTTACAGTAATGTTAGCGCAACCAGGAAAATGAACCCCAACTATACAAAATAATAGAAATGCCTGATATATGCCGGCACTATAGGTAATTTCATATTATTTTAGGCAGTATAGCAATATATATGTATAGTAATATATATAAATTATTATATTTATGAAAATCACATCGCTATATCATTATTATTGATAAAATATATCTAATATATTATATTACCATGCAAATACGGAACGTGGTTAGTAGGATCGCATAAATGTACCTATAGATCGTGGACGTGCGTCATCTTGGTTGGCTTTCTGACCGGAAGACACAATTTATATGCAAATTCAGCACAAGATACAGGCACTGATGTCGCTGGGTGCCGCTTGCCGCCCGCCGGATATCAACCAGTACACCCGCTTCTGTGTTATCACTTCAAAAATTACTTTTAGGTAGGTATGTGCACAAGGAATTTTACTATAGCTACGTATACTAAGCGAGTTAGTTAGGGTACGATACCATTCTCTATTGCCCACTATATTTTTGTTGCACATATATTTTCGATAAGTTGATTTATAAGTTTATACATTTTTGATAACATCTTAAATTGAAATTGTTGTATTTTTGACCTTATAATATCTTCGTTGTTTTCAAAGTTAATTTTTGCAAATAAAATTGTAATTTATGACACAAATATGTATGTGATAACGCAATAATATGTCTGTTTTTATACTTTATATTTGTAATAAAAATAATTAATTTTCTTTTATGTATTGTCAACAGAATTACATATTCTTAATTTCATTTTATTGTAAAAGTTTAGTTTATTTAAATATTACTATATTGTAAAATTATTATTCTCTTTCATTTAATGTTTACGTAAAAAAGTTGGTACCCAATCAACCTTAAGGGTTTATTTGTTGTATTATTACGAAGATATCTAGTTGGTTTTATTATAATATTATTTAATTACTTCTAAATGTTTTATACATTTAGTTTTCTTTATGAAGCTTAATGTAATTGTTACTTTTGTAATTAGTGTGTAATGTCATGAAGTCGTTTGTAGCGCTATCTCTAAACACGATGATTGCATCTTCATTCTGTAGTCAACCGAGCTAAATGTTGTTCATTCAGTAACTAATTTATATTGTAAAATTGGATATGGTACTTAATTTTTGTCTTAAGTTAATATTACACAGAAAACAGCGTAGTGTGTAAATTGTACGTGATAAGAGGACATCATCTTTATATGTTTTATTTGACATTCGTTTTCTTTACGTGGATAAGTATCATGCGATTACACGTGTGTCCGAGATATACATATTAATTAATTATAAATATATCATGTTTATGGAAAACATGATATTTGGTTTAGTCATTAAAGTATTATAATAAGCACCTAATGAACACACAAAATCACATTCACTTTAATAACATTAAGAAGAAATAATATTTTTTTTCCTATGTATTATTATACATAGGAAAAAAAATATTATATTTAATGGTTTAAGTATAAAAGAAATGGAATGTTAGTGGAAAGCAGTGCAGGAGTAGTGATATATTGAGCTAAATACATACACTCTTAATTTACTCAGAAATGTAATGAAACGCAGTTTCGTAACTCTCATGATATCAACATCTCATTTTTCTGGCAAATTCGTTTATTATATTAAAGGAATGGTGCGCAACTGAACTGCTTTAGGTTGAATTTTAAAGTATTTGCGCGTACGTATAAATTGTCAGTGACAGAAGACGGTGGCAGCGGAATACCGAGCGGTAATAGCCTAATAAAGCTAGTATAAATAATAATATTTGTTTGAGTCAATATTTGTTAGAAACACTGTTTGAATCTGTTTAGATTATTATAATAATTATCTACACAATAATTTATTATGATTTTTTTTTAATTACCTTGTAAATCTCTTCTATACAATACCACATCCAAAATAACAAAAGCGCTTTATTTAATATCTCCCAGTTAAGTGCGGTGGCGACCGTTGGCTAAGTCAATTAGCGACCACTTGAGTAAACAGCGGCTCGTTAGCGAACTTGTGTGTTTTATTTAATTCATTTTGCTCGTCCTCCATTTATTGATACAACATACTTTCTTCATCTTCACTTAATTTGTCGTTGTATTATCCAAAAGACCAAAATGTTAAATGCTAACTGGATATAGAAAGATTTCTGCTTAACTATACTTTATAATTACAATATCCTAACTTTCTCATCACTTATTATTATTGAAGTTACTTATTTGTTCTTTGCAATATGTATTTAAATAAATTAATATAAATTAATTGTTTTCTTTAACATATATTTATACCAAAGGATTAAATATCTATACTCTTAAGGTAATTAGAACGGCATTGAGTATGAGCTGATTGATTGACAACAACAACAGATTGCTCGGGTTTACTAAAAAATAGAAACAATAAGGTTTTCAATTCGATCTTTGAAAGCTGTGCTAGCTTTCAATTTGTGGGTCATTGTTATGTTAATGTTAAAAAGACTAAAAAATCTCTGTAATTCCAAATACCACGAGCCCGATCAAATATAAGAAAGTTAAAACCGTATGTAGTTAAGTAAATAACTACTTACTTAATGAAAAGTCAGCTCTACGCCTACATGAGTCTCTAGTTTTTGTGGTAAAAAGCTGAAAATGTTTTCTTATGTGTAGTAATATATAATATTAATGTATTTAATATATTTAGCATCAGTCATTTAAATCATAAAATGTGGTCTAGGGAATACATGAAAGAGAGATCTATGAGTTCACTAGAAATAACTTTAACAAAGACATGTCAAGGCAAATACAAAAATAATATAATTTCATAATTTATTAAAAGTTAGTCGAACAGTAAACAGTTACCTATTATAAAAATAGAAAATTCAGAAGTAAAGCATATACACATATATAATACTGCGTATATAAGTATAATATATAAATATTACCTGTTAATGCTCAAAACTTAGCCCGCGATTAATTGCCACCGACTTATAAAATCCCGTAGGTACCTGTGATTATATTAAGGTAATACGCATTTAGTCTTAAAAGTGATTACAGCTGATTATAAAATTCATAATGTCGTAATTATTTTAATGTAATTCAAGTCAGGTGCGTCAATTAGGGATGCTCATGAACCTTTTTAACCCTTAGGAAGATTACAGTGCCACCAAAGTAAAGCTGAAGATC